GGCTTGCTATTGGCAGCTGCTCAGCAGGCTTCTGCCCCTTCTCTTTGAGCATTACGATGCTTCAGGACCCCTAATTCACTTACGTGAATGATGCAAGAACCCAAAATGTAACTAGTGGGTTATGCAAGGGGATGCTAGAGGTGACAGCACAACATTAGGAAGGAGAGCTAACCCCCTCTGCTCTGTAACAAACTGCCTACCAGCTTGAACAGCAGAGAAGCCAACCGTAGCATGAAGGCATGACTCCTGCATAAGGATTCAAAGCTTTTGGGGAAATATCCTAGACTTTTTCCATCTCTTCCTGGTGTTCATGAAAACAAAGCCCTAACATTTTGGGATATGAAATCATCATAATTATACCAACCAGGTTCTGACCATCAACATAAACTGTAGCTTTAAACAGAGTAGGAGAGAAACAGTGGAGAAGTGTAAATTGCTTGAGGGATGTTCCCTCATCATCTTCTGTTTCTCTCCTCCTTGTATTGCTTGAGTTTTGTTCTTCCACCACTGCCAGCTAGGGAAACAGAAAGCTCCCCATGCTTAAGAGAAGTTTACTCATGATTGCTCTCAGAGACCCAAATGTCCCCAGCACCCTGCCTCCCAGCCTGAGCGGCTGGGGAAGACAAGCCCTACTGTATGTGGGAGCTCCAGGCAGGTGCTAGAGAAGTGAGAAGAAAATCCAGGCCAGAAAGTCGTAATGTCACTCCACAGCGAAAACTGACCATGCTGAGACACCCACCCCTCTCACCCCTATCTGTAACGCTCTCTGCTGGATTTTGTCTGCCATTTAGCAGCAAAACTGACACTGAATGCAATGTTTGGCACAATCAATGAATGTTGTCTGCAGCTGGAATAGGAGCGTAGTCAGGCAGCCAGTGACATGCTTTCTAACCTAGGATTTTAGAATGACCTTGTGGGACTTCTTAAATCTCACAAAAGCTTCCCAGCATCACACCTAGGTTCAGATAGGTATAGCAGGTGTGAAGCTGAGATGTTCTGTCAGGGAGTTGTTTCTTTGCATCCCCATTATTCAGATTGCCTGTAACTGTTGACACCATCCAAGATGAGGTGGTGCTTGCTTACTTGGTGGTACTCAAGCTTCACTTTGGGCTGGCACATCTCACACATCCAAGAGGGCCATGCACTTCCTCACGCTTACCCAAATTCAAGTATGGCTATTACCTGAGGGAAGTGGGAGAAAGGAGGAATGCTCCTGAACTCAAACCTCTTTTTCCCAAGGCTGCACAGGACACAGCTTGTGATCCTGTGGCTAGAAATTGTGCATTGCAAAGGCTTCATGTGTATGGGAGGAAGACTGAAGAATGTGCATGGGATATGAGCTTACAAGCTACTGGGATCTTTGTTCATGCTCTCAGTCAGCTCTGCCTGCCCAAAGCTCCTGCTATACCTCAGGGACTGCATGACCAGTTAGGTCCAGTTCTTCCAGGGCAGTTTCTCCCCTCCATCTCCCCATGCAGCTGTTGAAGTTAAATTACTCACTATAGAAGCTGACACAAAGGCTGGCCTGGCTGGCCAAAACTTCAAGCAATATGAATTTAAAAGGAGAAGGAGGAGAGGGAGGAGGAGGGGCTGTGTTCTTACATTACAGCTGCCTCTGTCCCAAGGTCCTGAGCCAAGAGGATTGTCAAGATTAGAAACATTATCTGCATTCAAATCCCACTAGCATTATGGAATCAGAAAATACTGTAAGGGGATATATAAATGCTTGATACTGTAATGAGCAGGGGGCAACTAGCCAAGCTGCTGTGCCTCTGGCATACTCTATATTTTGCTGCCTTATGGGGTTCAAAGAAAGGTGTGCGAATATGTCCTCACCTAAGCACTGGTCAGACTCATGTGCTGCAGTGGAAGGCATGAAAAGCCAGGGCAGGAGCAATGTCCATCCCTTGTATAACCTGGACTTGAAAAAGCCACCATAGGTACTGATGATGCCCTGCCAAGGTCTCCTGCCTCCAGGCGCTGCCACAGTGGAAAGAGTTCCCGAGAGTCTCATGTTGCATAAAGATTTCCTCAGTGCAAGACCCCAGTGCTTTGTGGATGGGCACAGGCTGTACTACTCACCTCATCATCTCATTGGCATGAAAGTCCCAGCGAAGGTGGCAGGCTGCAGGTCCACTCACACGCTGTACACACGCATTCTCTTATATACATGCACTGCTGCACATCTTCTTTCAGGATGAGCCTCTTCAGAAGAACATCTCCAAACACCCATACTTGTGGTACATACACCACCTAGACACAGTCTCACTAGACACAGTCACATGAACCCTGCCACACCAACAGGCACACCTCCAGCATTACTGTGAGCTTTTTTTCCTTCAGAGCCCTAACGAAATGCACGCTCCCACGGTCTCACACACACAAAAAAGCTTTCATCCCATCACCCACGTTTTCTTGACACATTTACTCTTTTCCAGCAAGCTCCCGTGGTCACAGCTACACAGATGCACCCACACCACTCTGAAGAGCTACCTTGTATACACTGCATGCTGACACATATTGCTCCTGATCAATGCCTCCTGTTTTGCAAACACCCCCACTCATGCCCAACCACTTGCCTGTAGCAGGTGTTGCAGCTTTTCTGCACATTTCTGAGCTTCTTCAAACACTCCCAAGAAACCCAAATCATCTCCTGTGTGCAGGATTCAGCAACTATTTGGCTTAAACTCCTTTGACTTTGTCTGGCACATGGCTAACATAGCTGTAAATAAGTAGCTAGATCAAGTATGGACTGGACCAGGCATGACCGAACAGTCTTCTTTCCTTGGGCTTTCTGTGTTTTACCTCTGGTCACAGTGCAGCCAGAGCCTCAGGCATTGATTCTGAGGAACCTCTTGCTGGTCTACACAACTGCCAACAAGCAGGGACATGCTGACAATATCCCTGAAAGCTGGTGATCCTACAGGCTGCCAGTAAAGGCAGATCCCTGTAATGGGGAACAGAAAACAGCTTCTCTAACCACCACCCACTTGCAGATATCTAGGGAGCTCATAAGAGGTGTCCATCTCTCCCTTCATTATTGGGTACCAGCTGGTCTCAGGTGCTCTAGCATGGATGGCCGTGGCCTGAGCCAGGAGATGGGATGCCAGACAGGTCAGACCAGCGCTCAGATGCCTTGTCAATGGATGTGCAAACACCGACCAGTGCTCTGCCCCATTCAGGCGGTATCCCTTGTAAGCACAAGCCCTGCATGTGCAGCCTCACCTTTATTTCAAAGCACTGGCAGAGAGCAAGAAAAGAGCAATGAGCCTGCCTGTTTCCTGCATAGCACGAGCACTCCTTCTGCATTACATGGTAGCATTTCCCCCTAAAGACAACAGGCCAGGTAGCAGCAGAGGGATCAAGGTTGCAGTGATGCTGTGGTGGTTGGTGGAGAATGTGTCCTTCTGGAGGGCTTTGGGACAGGCCTGAGGATCTGTATTTGGTGGAAGGGAGAAGACACCCACGTCCTCCGTCGCTCCCCTTTGCTAAAGCAAGGTCCCTGAACCCTCATCACCAAGGTGCCTGCCATCATCCCCCAGGATTTTGGGGAAGAGCTGGGTGCTGCCAGCACGGGGAGTTGGCCGGCCCCATGACAACCCAGTGTGCAGGTGGGGGGCTGCCCTGTGGTTTTTGCTCCCTGACGCCTTTAATTGCCGCTCACTGTCGCAGCGGCTGGGCACAGGCAGAGGTTATTTATAGCAGGGGAGCCAAGGGGCCGCATGGCCATGGGGGCAGCGCTGCTGGGTGACATTCAAACTGGCTTTGAGGCTGGGGGAGGGTGCCAAAATGGGTCCTGTGGGAGGGTGTTCCTCATAAATCAGCCCACCATCTCTCTGGTCATGGCTTTTCTTCTTCCCCCTTCCAGGCTCCCACTGCTGAGTGCAGGCAGCTGTGCCCTAGTAGGGACATTCCTGTCCCAGAGGCCCCTGACTCCTCATCCTCCCCCATCTGTCAGGACTGGGAGGGGGGACAGCAAGAAGACCATCAGCATCAGAGACATTCATGAAGCAGGGAGGGAGAGGGAGGAGGAGGGAGCTCTTACAGTGGCTTGACAGTCTCAGAGCATCATTGCTGCCTTGTAGGGTCTCTGGCATGCTTGTGATGGGGCTAAGTCAGTCATCTGATGAGTAAGGGGGCTCATTTCCCAGAGTCACTGCATCTCTGTGGAGCCTATTTGGAATTCACAGGGTCTCACCCGGGGCCACTCCCACCACGGGGCCCTTGCAGAGCGTCTCTCCTTTCCTCACATATCTATTTTCACAAAACAGGCAAGAACTTGATATCTTCAAGAGGCCCCTTCGTCAAAAATGGTGGGAACGGGGGGCAGTGGTTTTACAAAGCTGCGAGGAGGCAAACGCGAGTGTGGCTGGGATTAGACTAATTTCTTTAGGAAAAAGAGGGGACGAGGACTGGTGGGGGTCACTGAATCCTGGACAGGAGACGTGACTGAAAGCATTTCATAGGAGAAGAAACAGCTTTTGCAAATCCAGGAGTCCCTCTGCTTTGTTTTGCTGGGAGCTTGCTTTGGCCACCCCACCACATGTATGAAGGAAACATGATGCTGCAGTGCCCTGCATTCCCTCCAGTTTGCAACCACTGTTGCCTGGCACCAAGCACTTCCAGAGTTCAAATGTTCATGGTGCCCACATGTCATGCTCCCCTGCAGGAGGCCACCAAAGCACTATAGAGGATATAGCTTTTGCTTCATGTTGGTGGCTTGCTGTCCCTGATTTGGTCAGGACCACTCTCCTGATGCCCAAGTGTCACACAGAAGTTAATAGCACGTGATATCACCAGCAAACTTGGTGCTGTGACACAGTGGGAAGAAACCCAACCCTTGTGACCTCTGGGCAGTGTTATCTCAGCAGGGAGGCAGCATGTGATGCATCCCGACATTGGTGCTGCCTGAAAGCGGAATATAGGTCACTTGTGTCTGTCCTGTAGCTACCCTGTGGTGTTAATGCTGTTAATGTTGGGCTCCCTGGTTCCTCCCACAGCTGGCGGCTCAGGTCTTGGAGCCCAGGAGCATCGGCTTCGGGATGGTGGACTCCAAAAAGGACGCCAAACTTGCCAAAAAGTTAGGTGAGTCCCATGTCTGATATCTCTGGAATAAGTTGGAGAGAGTGCAGGAGTGACGCCCAACAGCCAGCCCCACAAAGGACAGCCAAATCCTTGTCACCACAATGGAAAGGGTGATGGTGGCAATTGCACACTGACCACCTGCCCACCTCAACATGGGCTGGATCAAGTGGAGGCGGGGGGTGAGGGTGAGAGGGATGAGTCAAGACACTTCCAGTGAAAAACTTCCTGGCTGAGAGTGCCAAAACAAAACTAAGCGAAAAAGAAATCCAATTTATGCCATAGCAGTGACAGGGTAGAAGCTCCCAGCTTGCTGAGCAGAAACTGTAAATAGGTGCCATGGAGTAATTCTATGCTCTTTGTACACAGACAGGTCTGGCACAGCAATGCAGACCAAAATCTACAGGAAAACCACAGAGGCCCTCAGATGTCACCATCCCCATGGCAGGGTGACCCCTGGCCACTAATAGGGGAGGCACAGCCTTGCAATGGTTTGGCAGCCAGGTGCCTACCCTTCTGACTTGCTCCCCAGAGCAGAAGAGGAAATCTGCTGTAAAGAAAAAAGGCTGCTGCCTTGCCCACGCCTGGAAAGTTGCCTTCCGAGGGCTAGCAATGCCTTCATATTTTAGACCACAAATCAATATGGAAATACTATGGCACATAAATACAACAGCACACAAATATAGCACTAGGCTTAAGGTCAGAGACTGTTCAAGCAACCTGGACTGTACATCGGACTTTAATTTTCTTTCCTAAATTAGAGGCTGTGTGTGCTGGTGGAAGCTAAACTAAAACTGGGAGCTTCTGCCTCAGCTTCAACCTCTCCAAGGAGGAGCAAACTACCACAAACTTGGCCCTTGATACCCTGCCACCGTGCATTGCAGGAGCTTAGTGCTGCTGATTTTGTAACCTCCATCAAGATGCTGTGGCACCCAGTCCTCAGTCCAGTGATATACTATCCAAATCTGCCAGCCTGTCATCTGCGACATCTTTACCATAGGTTTCTAACCCTTTTGCCAAGGCTAGCTAAGCCTCAGAGAGTTTGAAGCTCGCTTTCGCTCTCAGGTCACTGTTTATGTTCTCTGGGCAGAGAGAACAACCCACATCAAAATCCATTTTCCATCTAGTGATATGTTGTTAAAATTTGTGCTGTCAGTTAGAGCCCAGTATTATTTACTGAAGATAGATAGCCAAGCTAAAACAAGTTCCTGGTAAAGAATTTTTCCAGCTGAGGCCAAACTGTGGCCTGAATGAAAAGTTCAACATTTGGGAAGAAGCTAGCACACGTTCTGGCTGAGGTCTGTCCTTCATGCTGTGAAACATCATTTGGGAGATTGCTCAGGTTGTTTCTAACTTGACCAACACAGCGAGCTGGCAATTGCATTTTCCCGGGAGGCATTGCTAGAATAACAAGCAAGATACTCTGTAGTAAAAATACTTTTAGTGATGTGTTGACCACATTATGTTTTCTGTCTCCTTCTTTCAGGCTTGATTGAAGAGGGAAGTCTCTATGTGTTTAAGGAGGAGCGGCTGATTGAATTTGATGGGGAACTGGCCACAGATGTCTTGGTGGAATTCCTCTTGGATGTAAGCACAGATAAGCTCAGAGCTAGATAAAGCCTCCCAGAGAAGACCTTGCAAATACTCACTTTGCTAAAAACCATGGGTTTATCTTTATTTGAAATTCCATCCCTGCTTGGCACACAATAGTAAAGATGACATTTGCCAGCTTCCCAAATACTTGTCTGACCAGGAATTCCCAGGAAAGCTGGTACCTTTATATGCCACCAACCACTTACATCTTAAAGACATTCCACTCTCTTTTCTGTTTATGGAGTATTTGATTGGAAACACGCAACAATCCCACATAACTAACTGCTAGTCACCCACCTCAGTTAGCAGGCTGGCATATGCAAACATTTTGCCATTTGCAAAACCTTTCACCTTTTTTTTTAAAAAAAGAAGAGTAATTAAAAACAAATCCAGTAAGTAGAATTCTCATAGAGCAACAAAAAAGAGATCAATTGGTTGAAAAAGGTATATGCTGCAAACTATTTGCTCATTTCTAGACACAACAGCACAAACAACATAGTGTACTACTGTCTCTTCAGTGAACTTACTGAATTGCACTGCCATGAGTTAGAGAAGATCAAGGCCCTAGGACTTTATACTCTTGGGCCATTTTTTGCACAGACACAACTGTGTACTCACATTTGTGCCTAAATGCAAAAGAGATGCTGACTCCTTCATCAATGTTGCACTTCTCTTTCTTTACATTTTATTCCTAGGAGAGGCAACAGCCCAAAAATGCAGTCCTTGCTTTGTAGTGAAAACGTTTTACAGCAGCTTGGCTTTCCTTTGAAATGAGGCTCCCTTTATAAGCAGCCATGCCATAATCCAGATAAGGGAGGTAAGGCAAGCAGTGGAGCTGGCAAGATTTGTTTCCCAGGGTGGCAGGTTGCCTAAACGGTCACCTGTGGTGCCGGAGTGCTGTTGGGGAGAGGCACAGCCAGGGAACAGAAACAGTTCCCCAGGACCTTATCTCTCCTACGGCAATGTCTGTGTCTGCGTGCATCAGGTATTTTGGCCAAAACACGTGCAAGTGGCTGCAGGGACAGAAACAGGCATTTGCTCCCCGCCCCACCTCCCAGGAGGGCCATAGACAGAGCAGGGCTTTGCTGTGACACGAGCAGCAGTGGGATCCCTGGTTCCCTTGGCTCAGGCCACTACGGCAGCAGGGAGCTGCACATGCTGCTGTGGACACAGCAGAGGCACAGCCTCATGCCAGAGCATCACTCGCAAGGGATGCGGCATAAGGTGCTTTTTGAGGTTTTGCTTGCTGTGTTTTGTGGCGTGCCACTGAAAAATCATGTTCTGTGAACAAAGGAAGAGAGCAAGGATTTCTGTTTGAGCGTTTTCCACTCAAGAGGGAAAGTACTCAGCAAAGCAGGGATATAAAACCAAACACATCTGTGGTACCCTGGCAGCCTGATCTCAAGGGAAAACAAACCCAGAGGTTCTCTGCTCCTCTGTAGGCTGTACAGTGGCCTGCCTGAACCTTTTTTTTTTTTTTTTTTCTGGTGAAACCACACCTGATTTACACCAGTATTGCTGGGCAAAATAATCACACTGAATCTTTTCAGCAGCAGTGGCTACTTAGGAAAACAGAAACAAAGTGTGGATCAACGACAGGCTGAAGTGGCAGATAGGTCTTCCAACTTCCGCATCAACACTATGATATGTCTGAGGCCAAGGCATGGGTTTAACCCATTCTGCATAGAAGGATCAGACAGGAAAATTCACATCCAGACTTTCCACTGCTCCAAAACACTATTTGGCCACCCTATAGCATGCTGATTTCAATGTTTTCCGAAAGCAAGTTCTTTGCAATGACCTATTCCAGCAAATGACACTTGAAAACAAATATACCCATCATTCACAGAAGCTCACGGTCCCCATACCAGCCTCTTTCAAGTGCTCTCCCTTCTTCTCAGCCTCACTAAAGCCAGCTGCAGTTGCTACTCCTTATCTCTCATCACAGCAGGTCCCTCAGCATCCATTTGGGTTAGGGAGACCTCTCTCAGCTTCCCTCTTGGTGCTTCAACCTATGCAGTGAACCTACTAACAGCTCCCTCTGAAGGTGACCTGCATCTATTGTTTCCTCACATTAAGGCAGAGATCACCAAGTAGGGTTTCCAGCAGCAGAGATATTGGGCGACTTCTTTCTCACCACTTAGGCTGCTAGTGACACGCCCTGCCAGGCATAGGTTGGTGCTGCAAATCGTTGCATTATCAAATGCATTTGTCATGGCAGCTGCTAGAAGACCCTGTGGAGATCATAAACAACAAGCTGGAGCTTCAGGCCTTTGACCAAATTGACGAGGAAATCAAACTCATCGGCTACTTCAAAGGAGAAGACTCTGAACGTAAGATGAATATGTTCCTCGCAGGGCTTGGAGCCTGGCTGGGGGCTCTGGGGGCCAGGCATTGGTTCCTCTGCATGAACATTAAGGGTGTTAGGGGTATATGGCAGGCTATGATAGTGCCAAAGTTGCTGGAGGATGAGGTGGGGTTGCAGGCAAACTTCTGCTGTTGCTATGCATGAGCCCATTCCTACATCAACAGCAGTGATCCTTCTGCAAGGTGTCTGCTGGCAAGAGATGGGGGCGATAATCCAGGGGCTCCTGAAGTTAAAGTAAGTCTACACCACCCAAAATCAGCTGAGGTTACAATTATACTGGGTGAGAGCAAAGCTCCCCTCTTATGAGCAGTGAGCCCAAAAGGTCAAAGGAAGAGGGAGCGAGGCAAAGGGAAAGAAGGGGACACACATTAAATACTAACTCAGCAAACATATGGCAGCAGTAAGCAGGACACCTTAGGGCAGCCCAGCAGAGGCACTGACCTGACCTGTTTCTCCCTGC